GGTCCCGGTCGGTCCCGGTCCCACGAAACTACCAAAAACCTTAACCGGTCCCGGTTTTCGGTCCCATAACCGGTCCTTACCGGTCCCGGTCCCGGGCCGGTCCTTTGTCGGTCCCGGTCCCGGTCCTCCGGCGGTCCCGGGCCGGGCCGGGCCCATTTGGCCATCTCTAGTCCCAAGTTGGTTCGGACTGGACCAGGCCCATTGACCTTCTCTACTCGAGGTGGCACTGAGGCCCAAACAAATATCAGTCCCACTTTTTTAGTATATATTAACATTTACAAAGAAATGCGTAAATGAAAAAGACCTAAATCTTTTTAGCATAAAATAGGAGCCCAAAAGAACTTACTACTCAAACGTATTTATTAGTTGTTTCTGTGATTTAATTTAAACTAACGAAGTTTTGACAAGAGAGGCAATGAGTTTAACATGGATCTCATTTTTTATGTACCAGTCTAGCTTTAAATTATCTTTTCATCTTATGCTAATTTTGTAATGTTATTACCGACTTAGCTCTAAATTGTGTATCTCCCTGTTAAATATTTGTACGCAAAGAAGATCACCCATTTTGTAAGTTTTTTTCTTTTAAGTACAAAAAGATTGAATACCGAGAGAAAATGAGACCTACAGCAAAGTGAAATGGTAGATGACCATACCCTTCTTGATTTCATCATGCTCTGCTATGGTTCAACCTTTGACGTCACCCAACCACTTACATAGGTGAATAACTTTGAATTGGAGGCGAACTCGGCTATCTTTTATTCAACAAGATTAGTTCAGAGATATACCTATGGAAAACCCGAAGATTGCCTAAATTTGTTCATGGAGAAAGTTGATACAATTAAGATCAACGGGGCCTCCATTGATGCCATCGGCTTGAGGTGGTTCTTATTTTCCTTGAAGGATAAAGCTAATAATGGGTTAAGGTTAGTGATGTCGATTTCTTCATGACCTAGGAGGTCCAGGGTGTTCTGTTCAGAATCTTTGCACTTATCGAACATTTGTGCAATCCAGGGGCAAGTGTGATTTCATCGTCATGGAGATACTCGAGGATTCGAATATTTCTATTATCCTTAGGTACCATTTCTTAGCCACTGCTAGAGTAATGTAAAAAGCAAGAAGCTTTTGCTTCATGTTGGGGGATAAAAAGTTGGAATTTGAGCTAAAGAAGTTAATAGGTCTACCACCCTCTGTACAAATAACCATCGCACCTTAGATTGTTAAATGAGCATCAATCTCGAGCTCGAACATTTAGAAAAAAAATGAAAATCGAGAATTATTTTGGAAAAACTTGTTCAAACTTGAGTCAAATTCAAATGTGATATCATTTTCTTGAATAAAAAACAAGCACCGTATGATTCGACTCGATTCTAAGTAGCTAACACCCCAAATTGCAATAACAGGTAATAAGTAAATAGCCACAAAATTATATATTCTTGAAAAAAAAATTTTTTATCAAAAATCACCATTAATTTAAACAAAAACTTTATTTAAGAAGGGGTTTAATAATTTAACAACTTCAAAATTTATGAGATCCGTGAGAACTTTTACCTTAATATTTTGTTTCACATGATTTTTTTCGTCTAAGGATCATATTTAGGGGTTGTTTGGAAGTTGAGGAAATGGTTTGGTGCAGAATAATTAAGTAGTCAAAATGATTAAAAAGTCTCTCATGATATAGTATAAAATAAAATATTATTATTTGGTAATTGCTTACAATGAAATTAGGACGATTAATGGTTAAGGGAGACTCATGATACAAAATCATTCAGAGGGTTTTAGAACCATTAAGAAGCAGACTATTTCTTTTGTCAAACAAGATTTATCTCTTAACGATTCAGAGACTGTCTCTTAATTGAACTGTTAAGAAGTAAACAAACAACCTCTTGGTGTATGTACCATATATATATTCGGTTCACAATATGAAAATTTTTTACGTATATTTTTTGTTTCACAAACATATCAAAAATCTTAACATTGTTAACCGAGTATATTATAAAATAAATATATGTTAATCAATATTCTAAATCCTAGTCTTCAAAGAAATGAGTACAAACTCTTATGATTATCAATAATTTGATTTCAAATTAAAAAATTGAAATTTTATTTCAAAATGCTATCTTGTTGATAATTAAGGTAAAGATTCAATTCAGATTTTTAATAACGGAAACGTATGCATGTTGCAATTTCGTTGTCTTCTCCATAAAAAGAGGCAACGCCAATTTCGTATCTTCTTTCTTCTTCTCAACAACAATCCCTCAAAAACCACCTTCCATAACTCCTGTTTGCAGCCCTTCCAAGGTACCCAAAACCTTCTTATTTTATATGTTTTTGTTCATATGATTCCAATTCGATTATCACGTTAATGATTGTATTCAAAAATCGAGTAGAATTTCTTCTTCATTCAATCTCTACACAAATCACAGCAACAAACCCTTCATCTTGTTTCCATTATATGTTATCAAATAATCGTAGAATGCTGGTTTCCCTTTGTCGATTTTGATTATTTAAGCTTTAAAGTGGTGTTTGAGATTGTAAATAGGTTCGTATTACGTTTGATTTGATAAGATCGTCAATTTGACTAAAAAGTCATAGTGGGATTCTTGTTTCTTCAACGACGGAATGATCAGTTTGAAATTAAGATGTATATGTTTTTGTATATATGATGAATTCTTCAAGTAATTGCTTGTATATTGATTGTTCTAACTTGGTTCTAAAGGATTCATCTAATGATTTAGATATTTTACAAAATCAAATGATTTTTTGGAATTTGATCAAGAAGTTACAACTTTTTGGGGAGGTTTTGTGTGGTTGGATGATTTGGATCATATAATATTTTGTTTTGCGGGTCTTATTCATTTGTTTCGAAGAGGATGAAGATGTAACTGATATAGGGTCAGGTTCGGGGGAAAATCGTAAGAAAATGAAAAACTGTATAACACCCTGATAACCATTCTATCACATAGGCATACAAGTAATTTGTCTGGTATGCATATGTGTGTAACATGCAAATACGCATATAAAACAGGAAACATCTTTAATTACTTCTATGTACGAGTATCTCAATTTTCCATTTACTTCTTATGGGTTTTCCCCCCTAAACACCTCTCTCTCTCTCTCTCTCTATATATATATATATATATTGATTTGCTTTATAACTTGTTTCTTATTTCATGTAAGCAGAATTGACATCAAGATCTTCATGAATTCAAAGAACAGTGTGGCATTCAACGTTTCCTGCAAATCAGGAAACAATAGAATCTTGTTTTCTGATACTTCGATTTGTATTCTTCTGTCAAGCCTCAAGAATCCAATTGTCTTCTTGAACGATTAAACCCCAGTGGCCGAATCTTGGTTTCCTTCGATTCAGATCATCAACCATGGTTTCCTCCCAATTAACCGCTTTAATGAAGAACGAATCTTGCAAATCCTCCAAGGACCATCTGAATGTTATCATTCCCCCAGATCATCTTGAATTGGACTTTTCCGACGTTTTCGGTCCTCTAAACGAGTCTGGTTGTCAGGATTCTGATAATGCGGAGGTTATTTACAGCCGATCGCATTCTTTGGTGGGTCCCTCTCCACGTGTGAGCCAATCATCGGGTTTGAGTAAGTTAACCATATGTGAAGAGGAGGATTTCTCTGAGGAACCTTTGGTTGATGAGGAGTGTGTGAAGGTCGAAAGGGTCGGCATTGAAGATTTTGAGATCATGAGGGTTGTCGGGAAAGGAGCGTTTGGTAAGGTTTATCAGGTGAGAAAGAGAGAGACATCGGATATATATGCAATGAAGGTTGTGCGAAAAGATAGGATCTTGGAGAAGAATCATGCCGAATATATGAAAGCAGAACGCGATATATTGACAAAGATTGATCACCCGTTTGTCGTCCAGCTTCGATACTCTTTCCAAGTAACTTTTTATGATCTTTTTGTAGTTCTACATTTGTTTATTATTGTGAAAGATAATTTATTTTGTACACCAATTACAAAATAAGTCAGTTCTGGTCCAAGTTCAAGACAGACCAGACCTGGCTTGGTCTAATCAGATCACTAGTTCAGTTCAGTCTGGTCTTGGCTTGACCATAAGATCGTTAGGACCTGGCATGGTCCAAGACCAGACCAAACCTAGCCTGGTCTAGCCGGATCACTCGTTTAGGTTTGGTCTGGTTTTAGATCAATGCACAATAGAATTATAGAAATGCTTACAAGTTAAGGGAGCTCTAACCATAGATATAAATTTTGTACTTTCAGACTAAATACAGACTTTACCTTGTGTTGGATTTTGTCAATGGAGGACACCTATTTTTCCAGCTACACCGCCATGGACTATTTAGGTATGTTCTGTTTTTTCACGTTTTCTTGAGCTTTTTCGGTAAATAAATTTGACAACGGTTGGTGACTTACAATTTCAGAGAGGATTTAGCTCGTATTTACGCTGCTGAGATTGTTTCTGCGGTTTCTCATCTACATGCAAATGGCATAATGCATAGAGATCTTAAACCTGAAAACATTCTACTCGATGCAGATGGCCATGTACGTTTTTTTTTTCATCTCTAGTGAACAAGTTCTTATTTGGGCCCGAGACTTACATGTTTGTTTGATGATTCAGGCTTTGCTTACGGATTTTGGGCTAGCGAAAGAATTTGACGAGAATGGAAGATCGAATTCGTTATGTGGGACCGTAGAATACATGTCACCTGAAATCATTCTTGGGAAGGGCCATGATAAGGCTGCAGACTGGTGGAGTGTTGGAGTCTTGTTGTATGAGATGCTCACAGGACAGGTAAGATCTTGGGTTCATTCCTTGGTGGTCACTAGCTCGAGTTCCCTCGAGCATTTGGTATGCATAAAGGACTGGACATGACCGGCCGAGATGGGACAGGATTGCACCGGCCAGGCAAGAGTTTGGAGTGAAAGAATTGTACATGGTTTTAGGGTTTTAATTTGACATAGGTAGTTTAGTAATTTACCACCTACGGACAAAAAGAATGCATTTTTTGGTCCAGTGAATCCTGTCCGGTACTAACTATGGGCCAACAAGTTTTTATTCCGTCCCGTCATGTTGGACAGGCCCTCTACGATTAGTCGAGGTGTCACAAGCCAGACACCTCAACTTATCCCACAAAGTTGTTTGACCAATGGATGGGTTGGGTGTATTGCCCATTGGTCAAACAACTTTGTCTGAAAAGTTTCTTGTTCTAGAAAAAAGGTTTGTGCTACCTTCTAAAGCGTCCCCACTGAACTGGTCACACAACCATCATGCTAACCAAACGGGTTTGTGGTCAATAAGTCTCTAATTGGTTGTATTATCAAAAAGACCGTTGTACTTTATAACCTCGTTTTGTAAAATAGTTAAGTTGGTAGTTAACTATGACTTTTTAGCGTACCTCACAAATTATTGTTCTTTTTATACAGCCACCATTCCGTGGAGGGAATCGGGAAAAAATCCAGCAAAAGATAGTGAAGGAGAAAATGAAGTTGCCTGCGTTTTTGTCAAGCGAAGCACATTCGCTTCTCAAAGCGGTACATGCACTTTTGAACATCTTTTTTATGTAGCGTACTTTCAGATTGTTCATTTTTTGTATCTCGGACGTGACATCTCAAATAGATATGAGAATGCATGAAAATGCAATGTACTGTGATCTGGTTTTTCTTTTGTATGACGTACAGTGGATTAAGTTTGTGAGATATCATATCTCCGGTACCAAAATGAATATTTTGAAAGTACGTCACACAAATTAGTAATCAATGCAAGAATAATGGTTTGGTTACAACGAAAAGCAAAATATATCGGTTCATAAATACTTCATTTCCATGTTTGTAGTTGCTACAAAAAGATGCCAGCAAGCGGCTTGGCAGTGGCGCAACGGGAAGCGACGAAGTAAAACGGCATAAGTGGTTCAAGCCGATCAACTGGAAGAAACTGGAGGCTCGAGAAATCCAGCCAAGTTTTCGGCCCGAAGTTGCCGGAAACCATTGCGTGGCTAACTTTGACAAATGCTGGACCGACATGCCGCTAACGGACTCTCCGGCATCGAGTCCTCATGGATCCACCGCCGTCTTCCAACGGTTCACATACGTCAAACCGGCAGCCTATTTTCTTGAGAGACAGAGTCCAGTGTGGTAGTCATCCTTTGTATGGTCTAGGGGCTGTTTGGCAGATACTGAAATATTCGGTGTAGAATTACTAACCAAACAGAATAATTAAGAGAATCTGTTAATGTAAAATGAAAAATGACTGTTCAGAAAAATCGAAAGTCTGAACAACATACAATTGCTTTATGTTGTACTTGAGTACACAATGGGCATCATAAATATATATAAAAAATCTAAAATATTCTATACGATAGTATTTTCTGGTTTATTGGTTTAATATGAAAAGTAAAAGGAAATTAATTAAAATAGTCATTTTGACCGGTGGGTTTGATTTTTTAGGTGACGTTTGTTTTTTAGGAGGTAAAGTCTTATTTCAGTTCTGATTTATAAGAGGTGGTCTTGAAATCTGAAACCTGAATCAATAATATTTTTTATTTTTGTAAATTGATAAATGTCTGAATTTGTTGAAATTGTCTATTTTACTCATTAAAAAATTATAGTGTTGAATTTATAGATAAATTTATACAGTTTCACATATTTATTCATTATCATTACGAAATTTACATCTAAATTATATAATTAGCATTCATTTATACGAAAATATGTCATTAACGGTATTTAACACATTTAAATTCTATTAAAATACATTAATTGAGAGAGATGATGATTGATTTGGTGATTATCGATTAAGTTTAATTGATTGAGAAATGTCGTTGGTTGAGAGTTTGAAAACAATAAGAGGTTGGTTTACCTCTTATTAGATAAGAAGACAATAAGACATAAATTCCTTCAAAAATGGATAAAACAAACAGTCTGAATGACTCTATTTTTTAACAAATCATACATAAGAATCTAATAAGAGTTTTTTATTAAAAAACAAACAGGGCCTTAGTTATTTCTCTTCCAAAATTACGAAAATAGTTATAGGTCCACAATTGGCAGATTCATAATTTGCGGAGGGGTCAGAAGTGTAAGAAAAAGATGTAGTTTATGAATCAAAATATATTATAGTGTTGACTCCTATTGGTAAACGCTTACCGTGGGTAAACGGCCCCTTAATGTATTAAACTTTATCCATTTAAATCTAGGGGTATTTTAATCTTTTTGATTTTTTTTCTTTTTAGTTTATTAAATATCTTTTTTAGTTATTCTAGTTCTTTTATTTAATCAAACGTATTTTTTGAGAAACAATTAATACATAAAAAATTATATTATTTTGTTATTTTTAATATAAAATAATTAAATATTTTTCATAGAATTCGTTGTTTCCTGTTTTTTAATCATTATAGTTCTAGTTTTTTATTAATTCAGTTTCTACCACTAACCTCATTTAAATACAAGTAATTGAATACCATTCACTTGATAGTATTTTAATTCTTTTTTCTTAATTAGGGACTAAACATTTAAATTTTTTATGGGACCAAACAATTAAATATATTAGATTATTTTTACCAAATAAACGTATGCGTTTTTATTAATAGAACGTGTAATTTGATAAACTTATTGTAACACATTTATATAAGACATACATTTGCTTAGTATAATTGAATGACTTATAAGACCAAACAATTATACATCCTATTAATAAAATTACATATATTTGTTCGGTAAGAATAACCTAAAATAGTTAATTGTTTGGCCCTATAAAAAATATAATCCTTTAGTCTATAATGAAGAAAAAAGAATTAAAATACTCTTATTTGAAGGGTAGTCAACGATTAGCACTTTAACGATGTTAGTGGCAGAAATTGAATTCATAAAAAACTAAAACTATAATGACCAAAAGTATATAAAAAGAACTAGTTATATTAAAAATACTAGGTTCGATCCCGTGTATTACACGGGGTAATTTAAAAAAATTAAATCATGTCAGGAACTAATCTTACAGATATGAATGATCATCGAAAGTACGATACTACTTCAGACTTGTACTCTTGAAATAACTCTGAAGAATGACTCTGAAAAATGACTCTGAAAAATTACTCTTCAGACTTGAATTTAGAAATGAAACTATATCAATAATTAGTTAAAATGAACTTAACCCTATAATAAAATTAAATGTGTTATTTTGAACAAATATAGACATTTTTGGCAAAAAAATCTTTTATAGCCGGCATGTTAACCAACAAAACTCGTCTTACATAACTCCTTGACAACATCAGCAAGTGATAGCTGAAAGATGTCAAGATAAGCTGAAAACTAAAAGCTGCCTCTTCAGTGATAGCTGCAAGCTGCATGATAAGCTAAACACACAAGCTGAAGGCTGTCAGCAATAACCTGTCAGATTAGCTGAAGGTTGTCAGCAATAACCTCTCAGGTTAGCTGAAGGCTGTCAGTGATAAGCTGAAAACACAAGCTGAAGGCTGTCAGCAATAAACTGTCAGATTAGCTAAAGAAAATTAGTCTGAACTAAATCCCGTTTAGTAGGAAAATCAGTTAAACCATGATAAAAAAAATACATTTTTAGAGGGACATGTTGATCCTCTCTCTCAGTGATTTGATGATAATCCCTTTTTCCTTTCACGTTGTATTTGTGTTTCTGTATTTTCAGTTCCAGCGATCTTTACTGAATATGTTCAGTGATCGCTGAAGAACTTGCATTATAAATCTATCAGAGACAAAAATACTTCAAGAAGACAACACTCACACCAAAGAACCTTCAGCAAACGTCAAAGACTGAAACTGAAGATTAGAGACCGACAAGTACGTGATCTGAAGCGGTATATTCAGTGATTACAAGCCTGTCTACATATGTGTGAAGACTGCTCAAGCTTCAGTGAATGATGATGAGACCTTCAGGTCATTCCAGCATT